CGTGTGTGTGTGTGTGTGTGCGTGCGTGTGTGTGTGTGTGTGTGCGTGTGTGTGTGTGTGTGTGTGTGTGTGTGCGTGTGCGCTCGTATGCGCGTGTGTGCGTGTGTGTATATAGTGGCTAGTGGGTGGTATTTCTCACAGAATTGGATATGCCTGTTTATGTATCGGGGTTGTTGGCTTTAAAAAACAGAGCCAACCTCGTGGTGAGTGTCAGCATGTATTCACGTTGACTAGTTCAAGCGATAGATTCACCCACATTCTCGCCTTACTTTGCCAGTCAGGGATAATATTAAGTAAAGCAGGTAAAAGGGTAGACATGCGGTGTTTCTGCTCTGTGGGTCGCTCGAATAGTAGCATAAGAAATTTACAATTCTCGTTTTTCTTTGCCAGTCTCATTCAGTCAGTTTCATTCAGTGAGTTAAATATGTTTATCGTGAAGTTTGTACTGCGCTCGTTGAACGAGGACAGAAATTATGAAAGTAACTGTGGCCATGTCCCTGCAAATATGAGTCTGTGACGTGAAGTTATGATTGAAATTAATATAGTATGAAATAAAGCAGATAAAGTGGCAAATACACAATGTTTTTGCTTCTTGCAAACGTTAGCTTGTAGGTTGTTGGGTGTTAGTTAGGCCGCACGAATGGCAGCATATTCTATTACGGGCACCACGGTTAACCCGTCCGTTTTCTCAATAGTTTCGTTAACTTAATTCGCAAGTGTTCGTCTGAGCGGACGCGGGAACCTTTTCCACCACCCGGGCCCCATAATGTGAAACCCGTGTTACTGTTGCTGTATCGACAGCGTGCGAATATTCTGCTATGCAATGACCCACTGAGAATGAAGCCAGGTTGCCTACACGTATCAGACGTCACTACCTATGCGTATATACCCGCGCACGCTCAAAACAGCTGGCACGTGTGAGTGCATAAACGCACCCGGTAAATCCATAGACGCATGATTTGCAAAAGTGTAAATACAGTCGGCCGCGGACTGGCTCAAATTGGCAATTATTTACGTAAAAATGTGGACACATGTCAACGTGAATGAATGCGTTGGAATATGTATATGCCCCAGCATGTTGCCTATAGCCACGCACTAGCTGCAGCCTAGATTGTTTCAGTTGATGGTCGTCATATTAGGTTATAATGATGCAGTGAAATTATCCATACTGGAATGTTAACAAGCTAAAATATACGACTATTTAAATTAGAGTATATAGGAGGGAGCAGAGAGCCAGAGAGGGAGAGAGAGAGAGAGAGAGCGAGAGAGAGAAAGAGAGAGAGAGAGAGTTACGTTACGTTACATTACATCACATTACGGTGCGTTACGTTACGTTGCGTTACATTACATTATATTTCGTTATATTATTACATCACATTACATTACAGTACAGTACATCCCGTTATATCACATTACAGTGCATTGCATTACATTACATTACATGTTAGGAACGAGCCGCGTCTAAACACGCACCAGACAATGCACGTCAAGCGTTTAACATTATTGCTGAAACCGAAAATAAATGGAAAAATCTATCCTTACGCGAACGCAAAATTTGGGAAACAGTAAAGTGAAATTGACGTTTAAAATGCTCATGAATCGATATTGAGTCACGGCCGGGAGGTATAATTATGACTCTGTTTGCCGCATCCGTTGATCGTGCAGCGATACAGATGATAACATGATTGTACGTTCTATCAAAAATAATAACCATGTGACGTATACGTACGTTGCACGTGAAAAACAGTGATTTTTGTGTGACCAGAAATCTATAACGGAATATTACATTATATCGTGAGCTAATAAATACTAAGAGCTACGAATACAAGGTATACAAGGTATACAAAGTATACAAGGTAATAATACAAGGTATTATTAGCGCTTGATTTGATATATCTGCGATAGAGTTCTGCTAAAATTTAAAACAAATACATGCGAAAGAAATAATAATTTTACGAACATTATAAAATTACGATTAATCCCGCGTTTAATCACGTACGTATTATATCGATGATAGCTAGGGTGTGTCGCCCCCTGGGGGGTTTACAATACACCCGCGATCTACCCCCGTATTAATTGTCACCACGTTACAGATAGAACACGCACGCGTTATGTACACAGACAGTAAGGTAGCAGATAGAGCAGCAGCTGCAGTACACTGCAAAGATAACCTCTCATTGTTCCTCGCTGCAAATCACGAGTCCGCGCACGCGCAGAATGAGGGAGGCTGGGGGGGAATATTATCACGCGCGAACACGTACGCGTCTATCTATCGGCGCAGTCGCAAAAACCACTCATCCCCTGCGCGTCAACGCCTCTCCGTGTGCGTGCTGCGGGGCGGCAGGAGAGCGCGGGAGGAGCAGGCGACACGCCACTCGCCTGCGCGCACGCAGAACGAGAGAGAGAGAGAGAGAGAGCTGCGCGACTGCGCTAGGACGACTAGTAGGAGGCAGTGACACACAGACACACGCGCCGTGCTGCTGCGAGCAGTGACAGTGTTTACACGCGTGACGGTCAGCGAAGCTCATACACGCACAGAGAGAGCGAGAGCAAGAGTAGGACAGAGAAAGTGCAATAGAGAGAAAGAGAGAGCGAGTCAGAGAAAGAGCAAGCGAGAGAGAGAGAGAGAGAGAGAGAGAGAGAGAGAGAGAGAGAGCGCGAAAGAGAGAGAGAGAGAGAGAGAGAGAGAGAGAGAGAGAGAGAGAGAGAGAGAGAGAGAGAGAGAGAGAGAGCGCGCGGGGCAGAGAAAGAGCAAGCGAGAGCGAGAGTCTCACAACAATGCGGCCGCACACGGGTGCGCTCGGCTGTCGAGGTGCGGGACAGCGAATTCTTAGCCAATCCCAGCTGGCTCGTTATACCCAGTGACCAGCGAGCGAGGGGTGTGTGTGTAAAGGCGCCCAGAGAGCGAGCGAGAGAGAGAGAGAGCGAGGCGGTCACACACACACAGCCACACATGTGTTGCGGGAGTGTCGATGTTCGGGTGTTCGTGTATGATACGGTGACGGCTGCATAACACCGCGTACGAGAGAGCAGCCAGGGCAAGAACAGGAGAAGAACGTTTCTCATACGATATAGTTGGATTTCAGACGATATAGTTGGATTTCAGACGATATAGTTGGATTTCAGACGGTATAACAACGAGGAGTTGGATGCGGTGTGTATAGCCAAGACTCATCGTGACAGTGTCTTGTACGTGTGCACCACGCGGCTACTGCATTGTGCCTCGTAGCTGTGTATGTGTGTATGTGTGTGTAGCGCTGGAAAACTGCGCAGGGATGAACGAAGGGCGGCTGAAAAGTTGGAGGTAACATCACGACAGGTAGGTAGGTGTAATGTCTACGATGTGTGTGTGTGTGTGTGTGTGTGTGTGTGTGTGTGTGTGTGTGTGTGTGTGTGTGTGTGTGTGTGTGTGTGTGTGT